AAGGCCTTTTTACGATTTGAGCTCTCTCGTCTGAATCCCTCGTTCCCTCCGCAACTGGAGCACCAGCTGCTCTGCCTTGGCACGCCGCCCCACGCAAGCTGCTTCGCGAAAGGCTGCGGCCCCCACAGAACGCCCGAGCGCTGCCGCAGAGCCGCAGAGCGTTCCCCGCGCCTGTGCCGTGCGAGGCTGGCTTGCTTCCTCCCGGGAGGAAGGGCGAGTTGGGCTTAATAGCAGGACTGAAACTTAATTTTCAGTCTCATCTCATCCCTCTTGGGGCAGCTCGGCTCAGGATTTGCGGAGATGACTCCTACCCTCTTGTACTCCAGATGTGCTGAAGCAGCTGTAGCTTAGGGGAGGGGGCAGAGGTGGAATGTGTGCTCTTCATCTCTGGAAAATCCAGGGAGATCCCAGATTACACACCCCAAATGAATGGCTGCTTTGGAAAAATTCTCTGTGCATCCGTTTCCTCTTTGCCAACCTCTCTCCCGTTGCCTCAGGATGCAGTCAAGCACCGCCCTGAGCTTTAGAGGTGGACGGTGTGGTGGTGTCTTGCCGATTGAAGCACCAAGAGAGCAATATCTCGAATCAGCTGCACCACTGGGCGGCTCCTCCAGGAGGGGGAAGTGGTTGGAGCAAAGGCACATGGTCCTCACAGCTGCATCCGTGTTTTTATTCTTGTCTTGGTTTAGAAGACAGGGGAAAAGCTGTGGAACCCCACCCCCCACCTCCGAATTGCTATACCTTTGAAATTATGGGGGCTTTCAGACAAAGATATGGGGATAGGAACACCAGTTCTTTACTGAGAATATTACAAACTACAAAGGTAATGATACAGGGAGGAAAAAAAACCAAGAAACAAACAATCCCAGAACCAAACAGAGTCAGAATACCTGACTTGGGAAAGAAAAAGTCCAAATAAATCCAAATTAAAGTCCTCCTGGAGTGGCAGATGCGGCTCCGTGGGAGATGATCCGGTTGGAGATGATCCGGTAGAGGGGTCCGCTGGCGACAGGGCCGGGTCCAGTCCTCCTAAAGGCGAAGAATGGCGGCGGCACCGACCAGCTCCGCTCCACGGGGTCCGCGTGGCGGGGGCTCCGGTGACCACGCGGCTACCCTGCCACCCCCCAAAGTTCCGGCGGGCTAGGGGGCCGCTCCCACCGTTTTCCCCCATAATTAACCCATGATTACCCATTAACAGAAAGCACCTGCCCCTGGAGCTACAGGAAGAGAAAATATCTTCCAACTGGTTTCAACAGATGAAAATAGAATTACACATTTTTGGTTACATATTGTAACCCAAGGCAATTCTGAATTGGTGATCTTAGGGGTCGTTTTTCTAGCGCTATCCTGAGAGAGGAGCTTCGGTAGCTGGATGCCCTGGCAGGTCTGCTCAGCGTGGCCTGTTTGAGCACCGGGAAGCCCCGTGCAGCTCTGGCTTCTAGCACTGCAGCGTGGAGCACCGGAGCTGGCACCACCAGCCGTTTCTGGTTTTCTTCACACCTAATGTGGGAGAGAACCTTCCAGCCTCTTGCCAACACGTGGGTGGTGGTTCTGGACTGTCCCTTGTCAGGAGGTGGCCCAGTTTGGTGGGGATGGCCTGTGGGAGGGCAAAAGATGTCTTGTACCTCTTTACACCCCTCGGAAAGATCTCAAAACACCTTGTGAGCGTTGTCCGTTGCAGGATGGCTCGGAGTTGATCATCTCTGGGGGGCAGTCCAGGACACTTTTGGAAATGATGTTGGCTGGCGTGAGCTCACCTTCCCTTGGAATCTCCATCTCTGGAGACTTTCAAAACCCTCCTGGATGTGTTCTTGCGTGACCTACTCTGCGTGACCCTGCTCTGGCAGGGAGATTGGACTAGATGATCATCAGAGGTCCCTTCCAACCCCCGACATTGTGAGATCTGTGGCCAAGTTGTTAATAAAGAAAAGGCTACTTCCGCTTCCCAGCTGTCTTGCAGCAGTTCCCCCTGGTTGGGAGGGATGCGGATCAGGGTTCCCATCTCCCTTCTCCATGGCTCAGCTCTAAGTGAAGCTTTTCCTCTCACCAGGGCTCTGCCTTAACCGTGAACCTTTCGGAGCGAGCAGCCGGCTGACCTTTGTCACGTGCTGGAGAAATGAATCCCTGCAGGAAACATCCCTGTGAAATATCTTTAAACAGAGCAAAAAAAGAAACAAACAAAAAAAAAACCAAAAAAAAAGAGGGCTGTTGTATTCTGACTGTCAGACAGACAAACAGGCTCTTCAGAGGAAGCCGGGGAGAATAGCAGGAAACCCGTGTGAACGGGACGGGCGCCCCCCAAC